GCTCCAGCTCGGAGGCCTCAGCTGCTGAAAGTAGGTATCTGGTTTGTTTTGGATCTATAATCGAAACTCTGTATCAACTCCAGCTCTGAGATCCTGGGCTCGCTGAAAGCAGGTTTCTGGGTTTTTTTTTAGCTTCTATATTTGTTAAAATGTTTCAAACTGCAGGCTCAGAGGCCTGCAAGGCAGGCGGGGAATGTTGGTTTCCTCCGTCACTGAAGCAAGCAAGCCTCATGTTAGTTTCAAGCTGCCTGGCTGCCAGCCACCATCTTGGCTGGCAATTAATTTGCATATCACCCTGATTAGCCAATGGGAAGGATAGCGGTTGTACCCTAATTACCATGTTTCTCTTTTATTAGATAGGAGGATTTTTATTTTTTAAATTCCTGTGGGAGGGGAAGGTGGATCTTAATGGGTAGAATTTGGATAGACTCAAAATTGAGGCCAGGGCTCTCTCAGTAAGGAGATGACACCAAAAGTTTGGAGCTAGCAACACATCTAAGGTTTAAAAAGTAGTAAACTATACAGACTCATAAGACACGTGATTGAAAATGTCTGTACCAGCCCAGAGAGAAAGTAGAACCAGCAACTTTGGTATCTACACCATTCTTCTTCCTATCTCCTGTCTCGCAGTGGCCACAGAGCTGAGGTTTTAAAATTGGGATCAGGAGAGCAGTGTTGGAGGTGAAAAGTGAGTTAAATGTGCAATCTAAGGTGTCTGTAGAAGTTAGAGTGCTTTCTTTCATAATAGATTTGTGAGATCCTTACAATCAATCTGATTCCTGATTGACTCTGGTTTATTTTCTCATGTGATCTTTGATATAACACTTACTGTGGAATCTCTTATGTTGGTTTCATTCAGGCCGCCCAGCAAATCATTGAACTTCAGGAAGCTGCGCAAATAAATGCAGGTTTGCAGCCGACCAACCTGGGAAGGAACAACAGCCTGCACGACATGAAGACGGTGGTAAAGACCTGGAGGAACAGGCTGCCCATTGTGTCCGACGACTTGTCCCACTGGAGCAGCGTCTTCATGTGGCGGCAGCATCATTACCAGGGTAAACCTACCTGGTCCGGCATGCATTCATCATGTAATTTCCCAGACACCCCCCCTGTTCTGGTTTCATGTCTTGGTTTTTTATTTCTTTTACCAAATTTTCTGATTTTTGGTGGGTATGGGAGATGGTGGTGGTATGGTGAGACAAAGGTGAAGGTGGAGAAAGATGGGAAGGATTTTTCTACCTGTTAAATTTTTTCTAGCTAGAACAGAAGTGCTGCTTGACACTGCTTCTTGCATCAGGGGCTCAGGCCAGTGTGATCGGAGCTCTGGGTTGTGCTTCTTTGTTTTGAACACAACTCCTCACCTCCCATGAAGAACTGCTCTTAGGTGGCTGTGTGTGTAGCCTTCTCCAGTTTTCTGGTCCCCTCTGCTCATACACTAAACCTGCCAGACATCTGTTTAGAGCAGTCTTCATGATTTAGTTAGCCAAAATGGTAACACTCAATAGTTAGTGCTTTTTATATCTTCCTTTTGATATAAAATACAAGGAAAAGTAACAAGAATTTATTACGGAGTTTCCCATCTTCATAAGCCATGTGTGTTTGTTTTCATTTTTTACTTAAGCCTTATTGTGGGACACTCTGAAAATGTTTGGCATGGACTAATAACTCATTTCTTTGCTCTCTAGCTATTGTAACTGCGTATGAAAATAGTTCTCAGCATGATCCAAGTTCTAATAATGCTATGCTTGGAGTTCATGCATCAGCTTCAGCAATCATCCAGTATGGAAAAATTGCCCGGAAACAAGGACTGGTCAATGTAGCTCTGGATATATTAAGTCGTATTCATACTATTCCAACTGTTCCTATCGTGGATTGCTTCCAGAAGATCCGACAGCAAGTCAAATGCTACCTCCAACTGGCCGGAGTCATGGGGAAAAACGAGTGTATGCAGGTAGAGTGCCATCAGTGCCTGGTGCCTGCCCCTGTGCCCAGCAGGTCCAGTAAAGAAGGGTAGGAGTGTCCACATGGAGCTCCTGGTTCAGACAGTAGGGAAGGAGGGTTAGAACTTAAAACAAATACAGCCTTAGTAGGGAAGCAGATCTTCCTGAACAAGACAAGGAAAGGAAAGCACTTGAGTGAATACTATATATGTTTTAATCCTCACCTGAGGCATGCTTTTATTGATTTTAGGGAGAGGGGGAAAGGAGAGAGAGAGAAACATTGAAGTGAGAGTGAAACATTGAATGTTGACTCAGGTATGCCCCCCAACCGGGAATCAAAAACCTGCGCCTGCAACCTGGGAATGTTCCCTGACTGGGAATTAAACCTGCTACCTTTTTTTTTTTTTTTTTTTGCCGGACCGACATTTCACAGTTTATTGCACTTTTTCCACAATCACTGAGTCCTGCCGGGCTGTGCCCAGGGCTCTGGAGGCAGGACCTGGAAGGTGAGGCTGAGCAGCAAGCCATTCCCAGGAGGGGTGCCCCAGGGACCACGTGGCCACGGTTGGGACACCCGTCGAGGACTGAACCCCACACCCAGCGCCCACGTAGGTGGCCCTCATGACTCCCGTCCCCGTCTCCACACCGCCTTCCCGATGCTGCCCCCAAACAGGGAAACCTGCTACCTTTTGGTGTACAGGACAATGATCCAACCAACCGAGCCACACTGGCCAGGGCACCACTGGAGTATTTGAATTACATTTTATCATCTCTGTTCTATCGTGTACTTGGTTAATGTATTTAAGGGAAAAAATTAGACTGCAGAAGTAGGATATTGTAATGTAGATATTGGCTATATTCAGAGGAATATTTTTTTTTTAAAATATATTTTATTGATTTTTTACAGAGAGGAAGGGAGAGATAGAGAGTTAGAAACATCGATGAGAGAGAAACATCGACCAGCTGCCTCCTGCACATCTCCCACTGGAGATGTGCCCGCAACCCAGGTACATGCCCTTGACTGGAATCGAACCTGGGACCTTTTAGTCCGCAGGCCGACGCTCTATCCACTGAGCCAAACCGGTTTCGGCCAGAGGAATATTAATAAAATCAATAAACTGTTTAGACATCTATATATATAAAAGCCTAAGCAACCGGCCAACTCACCAACCAGTAGCTATGATGTGCACTGACCTCCAGGGGGCAGATGCTCAATGCAGAAGTGGAAACCACAGGCATGGAAAGATAGAACAGACTGATGAATCTCAGGGAGAAAGGGGAAGGGGGAGGGCCGGAAGAGATTAAAGATCTTATATGCATATTAGAAGCCCGGTGCACAGATTCGTGTACCGGTGGGGTCCCTTAGCCTGGTCTGCGGGGATCAGGCCGAAACCGGCTCTCTGACATCTCCCGAGGGGTCCTGGATTGCAAGAGGGCACAAGCCAGTGAGGGACCCCACCAATGCACAAATCCATGCACTGGATCTCTAGTATAAAATCATACCCTTAATGTGTCTAGAACCTGAATTAGCATTTAGTGATTCAGTTTAAATACTACTTGTCAATAGATATATTCATGGTAGGCAAATCTGTTGTCAATTTAAAGTACATTTGTCAATGACCTTTAGGATATATTAGGTAGATTAATATTTTAATGAATTTGTTATATTGTATAAAAATTTCAAGGACTTTTTCTACATTTCTTTTTTTAAAACAGGGACTTGAAGTTATAGAATCTACAAACTTAAAATACTTCACAAAAGAGATGACAGCTGAATTTTATGCACTGAAGGGAATGTTCTTGGCTCAGATTAACAAGTATGTATGTTACATGGGAGGAAAGTAAGAGTAAAACTCAACAACTTTGGTTATTTATTACTGGAAGCTGATGGGAATGTCAAGCTTGAAATTGGTATGACTCGGTGATGGTTGTCAGGTGTGATGTTTCAGGTGCTACATCTCTGCAGAGAGAGTAACTTCCAGCTGATTGATAAGCCAGTTTGATGTGTACTTTAAAAGCTTTTTAAAAAGGAGTTGCTTGAAAACAGAACAGCTGATAACATGTATTCATCTCTCCATTTTCTCAGCATGCCATTGGGGCACAGAGTTGATCCCTTTTATGGAGTTGCTTCTTATTTTAGAGCAGGGGTCAGTCATCTATGGCCTACAGGCCAAATCCAGCCAGTCTCTGGATTTGTAAATGACATATTGGAGCACACCCACACCTCTGACGTGTCTATGGCTGTTCACAATATAGCCACAGAGTTGAGTTGTGACAGAAATTATATGGCCTGCAAAGCCTAACCCTTTTTCTTACTGGTCCATTACAGAAAAAGGTAGCTAAACCCTGTTTTAGAGAAATGAATATCAGGTGAAATTTTATAAAATATATAAATTACGTATACTTACAAGATGCTACCTGTTGCCATATATAGAGCTATAAAACCCACCTTTCACATTTTCAATTATAGGGGTTGCGTTAAGCTTATTCTTCTATATAATAAAAGGCTAATATGCAAATTGAACAGTGGAATGACCGGTTGCTATGATGTGCACTGACCACCAGGAGGCAGACACTCAACACAGGAGCTGCCCCCTGGTGGTCAGTGCACTTCCACAGGGCCTTGACCTGAACTCCCAGCTGGCGAGCACAGCGGCAGTGGTGGGAGCCTCTCCTGCCTCCATGGCAGTGCTAAGGATGCCCGACTGCCGGTTTAGGCCTGCTCCCTGGGAATGGGCCTAACCTGGCAATTGGACATCCCCCGAGGGCTCCTGGAATGTAAGAGGGTGCAGGCTGGGCTGAGGGATACATGCGCGCCCCCCCCCCCCAGTGCGCAAATTTCATGCACTGGACCTCTAGTTTTTAAATAAAAGCGAGTTTGTCAAGATAAAAGTGTTTTATCCACTTAAAATCTGTTTTAAATTCACATGAAACCCCATACCTGTTAGCAGTCTCTTCCTTTGTCCTCTGACAGCCACTAATCTACTTTCTGTCTCTGTGATTTGCCTATTGTCAACATTTCATATAAACAGAATCATATATAATGTGACCTTTTGATTCTGGCTTTTTCACATGTTTTTTAGCTTCATTCATGTTATAGCATGTATCAGTGCTTTGTTCCTTTTCATGGCTGAATACTATTTCATTGTATATTCCTACATTTTATTTATTCATTTAACAATTGACATTTGGGTTGTTTCCACTTTTCAGCTATTATGAATAATGCTTCTGTGAGCATTCATGTAAAAGATTTTGTATGAGCATGTTTCCAGTTTTCTTGGGTATATACTCAGGAGTGGAGTTGATGGGTTACTTGGTATTTCTTTATCTTTTTTTTGGTTAATCCTCACCTGGAGATATTTTTTTCCATTGAGTTTTAGAGAGAGTAGAAGGGAGAGGGGCAGAAAGAGAAGCATCAATGTGAGAGAGACACACTGAGTGCTTGCTTCCTGCACAAACCCTGACCAGGGTGGCGGATCGAACCTGCAACCCAGGTACCTGCCCTTGACTGGGAATTGAACCCATAATCCTTTGGTACATGGGCCAACACTCTAACCACTGAGAAACACTGGCCAGGACAGTACTTCTTTATCTTTTTGAGAAACTGCCAGTTTTCTGCAGTAGGTGCTCCATTTCCATTCCCACCAGGATAGTCTGTGTTTCCAGTTTCTCCACCTCCTTGCCAGCACTTGTTAATTTCCATTTTTCTGATTATGGCTATCCCAGTAAGTATAAAGTGGAATCTCATTATGGTTACTTTGCATTTTTCTAATGACTAAGGATGTTTAGCATCTTTTAGGTGCTTCTATGTCATTTATATATCTTTTCTATACAAATATTTATTCAGTTACTTTGCCCAATTTTTTAAAAAAATATATATTTTATTGATTTTTTACAGAGAGGAAGGGAGAGAGATAGAGAGTTAGAAACATAGAAACATCTATCAGCTGCCTCCTGCACACCTCCTACTGGGGATGTGCCCACAACCCAGGTACATGCCCTTGACCGGAATCAAACCCGGGACCATTCAGTCCGCAGGTCGACGGTCTATCCACTGAGCCAAACTGGTTCCGGCACTTTGCCCATTTTTTATTTGTGTATTTGACTTATTGTTGAGTTCTAATTATTACATGTCTGGATATGTTTCCTTCAAATACATCATATTTTCTCATATTGTATAAGCGATCTTTTTACTTTTTTGATAGTGTCTTTAATGCACAAAGTTTATTATTTTGATGAGTCCAATTTATCAAATTTTTGTTGTTGTTGCCTGTACTTTTGGTTTCATATCTAAGATACCATTGCCTAACCCAAGGTCATGGTCATGTGCATTTACTCCTATGAGTCTTACAGGTTTAGCTCCTACATTTCTCTCTTTAATCCATTTTGAGTTAATTTTTTAATATTGCATGAGGGTAGTTGTCCAAAATTCATTCTTATGCATGTGTATATCGTGTTGTTCCCAGCACCATTTGTTGAGAAGACTGTTCTTTCCCCCTATTTAGTGGCCTTAACTTTGAATCAGTTAATCAGAAATGTATAGCTTTATTTCTGGACACAGTTCTGTTCCATTGGTGTGCATTTCACCCTTACACTAGGACCACACTGCCTTGATTGCTGCTGGCTTTGTAGTAAGTTTTGAAATTGGGAAGCATTCTCTCAGTTTGCTATTTTTCAAGATTGTTTTGGTTTTTTACATTTCCCTTACATTTCCATATTAATTTTAGGTTATTTCTGCAAAAAGAGGCAGTTGAAACTTTGACAGGGATTGCACTGAATCTGTAGATTAATTTTAGGGGGGCAGTATTGCTACGGTAATAGTATTAAATCTCCAATCCATGAACACAGGATTCATTTACTTAGGTCATCTTTAGTTTCGTTTAACAATAGTTTATAGTTTTTAATGTGCAAGTCCTACATTTCTTACGTTAATTTTATTCTTAAATATTTTATTCCTTTTGATGGTATAAAATGCTTTCTTAATTTTATTTTCAGATTGTCCAGTGCTAAGGTGTAGAAATACAACTGGATTTTAAATATTAATCTTGTATTTTTCAACTTTGCTATAATAGTTCTTTAGGTTTTTCTGTATATATCATCATGTAATCTTCAAACAGAGACAGTTAGCATTTTCCTTGCCAGTCTGCAGGCCTGTTTGCTCTAGCTAAGAATTCCAGCACTAAGTTGAAGTAGAAGTGGTGAAAATGGACATCCTTGTCTTGTTCCAGTTCTCAGAGGAAAACTTCGTATTGTCCAGCATTGAGTATGCTATTAGCTGTGGGTTTCTCATATATGACCTTCATCATATTAACGTAGTTTCCTTCTATTCCTAGTTTGTTGAGCATTTTTATCATGAAAAGGTGTTCCATTTTGTCAAGTGCTTTTCCTTCATCAACTGAGACAATGTGTTTCTCCTTCATTCTGTTAATGTGATGTAATATATGGATTGATTTTTGTATATTGAATCGCTCCTTGCATTGCTGGTAAATCCCACTTGGTCACTGTGCATAATCTTTAAATATGCTGTTGGATTTGGTTTGCTAGTATTTTGCTGAGGAAGTTTGCATCTGTATTAGTAAGGGATATGGATGCGTGGTTCTCTTTAATGTCGTGTACATTGTTGGTTTGATACTAACATGGTGCAGCCACTATGGAAAACACTTTGGTAGTTACTCAAAAAATTAAACATAGGATTAAACATAGGAGCAGTTCTACTCCTTGGTATATTACCCAAAATAATTGAAAATGAGTTCTCCTATAGGTACTTACTCACGAATGTTCACAGCAGCACTATTAAAGTAGCTAGAATGTTAAAACACCTCAAATGAATGGGTAAACAAAATGTGGCATATACAGGTAGTGGAATAGTATTTAGTCATAAAAAGGAATAAAGTACTCATACATGCTTCACTCTATGCTAAGTGAAAGGCCAGAAACATAATGTGTGATTCCCTTAACATGAAACATGAAGAATTGGTAAATCTCTATAGAAACAGTAGGCAGATTGGTGGTCCCCAGGGGTTGCTTAATGGCTGGGGTTTTATTTTGGGATGGTGAAATGTTTTGGCACTACATAGATAGAGGTGGTAGCTGCGTGACCTGTATGTCCAAAGTGCGTGACTATACTAAACGCCACTGAATCGTTGTTTACTTTTAAATGGTTGGTTTTTTTATGTGACGTTCACCTGGAAAGAAAACCAAATTAATGTTTTGATTTGTGTCCTCACAGGTCTGAGGAAGCAAACAAAGCCTTTTCTGCAGCTGTGCAGATGCATGATGTGCTGGTGAAGGCTTGGGCCATGTGGGGCGATTACCTGGAGAACATCTTCGTGAAGGAGCGGCAGCTGCATCTCGGAGTGTCTGCCATTACCTGTTACCTGCATGCATGCCGGCATCAGAACGAGAGCAAATCAAGGAAATACTTAGCCAAGGTGAGGCCAAAAGAATTAGCTCTGACCAGAGATCAGTCTGGTAGCCTTCAAGTTTGGATGACAATTCAGCTACTTCCGAATTCATGCTGGGTGAGAGGCTTATTTCATGCCTTAACGCTCCATTTTTATCACTCTTCAAAGTACCTTTCCTATTTCAGTTTTAAAGCTGAGAAAACAGGCCTGGACATACTCGGGATCCCAGGACATTTAAGCAGCAAAACCAAGCCTGGAGTCTGGGTCTTAGGTCTCAAGTCCAGTGTTCACTGTGGGATTTCACACTAGACAGAGGTTCCTGCCGATTGATGAGGGGTCTGCAAGGAGACCTTACCTGCTAGATACTTGTTAGATTCTGCTCTCGCCTGCAGGGACAGTGCACATGTTCAGAGAGCCTGTCAGCTCTAGTTGCAGGTCATGGTGAGCCCCATGGTTTCTGCACACACTACAGGGCGAGGTCCTGGTTGCTGGCATTCTCATCCTTTGTTGTCTCAGCATAGTGCTGGGCACAGGATTGGCAGTCTGACATGTGCCCAGTGATGGGCATCAGCCTGAGAGTCCTTCAGTGTTGCTCCCTCTTGTCTCTCATCCCCGCCACAAAACATATAAATATAGCCCAGAATTAATTCTTGCAGAAAACTTAAGAATAAGTTATTTTTCTTTTCTGTTTTGTTTGTTAAAGGTGTGGATTTTTTTAGAATTCCTTGAGGTGATGCCAAAATGTGGAATGTACAGCAGCACATAGTAGTTCCAGCCAACTATAGAAACAAACAAACTCCATGAGGCAAAGAAACCACCCAAATATCTGACTCCAAATTTGCTTATTTCTAGATGTCATTGTTTCAGACATCCTTGGACATGGGCTGCCAACCTGTGGCCTACCTGATGCTAGGGTGGCGTTCCTCTGAGATTTTTAGCAAAAGTCCAGTTTGTATTGGTGCGATCATGGGTGTGAATTAGCAGGGTGGCAGGCCCTCACCATCTACCTCAGGGTCACTGGCCACCGCCAGCTAGTTGATTGGATCAGTTAATAATTGGCATTAAAGCTGACTCTAAACAAAAAGCTTTATTTTAGGTTTTGGTTTTATTTATCTGGTAAGTTTAGCAATATTGTTGGCCCTTTGGTGATATGTTTCCAGCAAAACGACTCTATATGGTAGTTTAATGCTGGAAAAAGTCACTTTAAAGGCCTCAGAATTTTTTTTTTTAATATATTTTTTATTGATTAAGATATTACATATGTGTCCTTGTCCCCATGTTACTCCCTACCCCGCCCCCGCTCATCCCCTCCCCCCCCCCCCCCCCCC